GTCACAAGATGTTTGAGTGGTTTACTGTCAAATACTATTTGATTGGTTAACTCACATGGATTGCATGCTTCTTTTCCAAAGTCTAGACTTCATCTTTATACATAAAACCTCCTCTCTCCCATATGAAATTGTCAGGAACTGCATTTTCAAGAGGAAATATTGCGTAAGGAGAGAGAATGGAACGAAGCGAGGGAGAAGTTAGCCAAGTTTAGAAAACAGCGACACAAAGACACGCCCCAAGATAGCGATTCTTCTTCAGCGTTCTAAAACAGCTTTAACCATAAACTGTATAGTGCCTGTCTTATGTATTGTGATTTCATTATGGCTTCCATGTCCGTACGACCTTATAAAGGTCTTGGAGAGAAGAGTTTCAGAGACTAAGATGAGTGGTGTGGCTACAGTTAAGAAAGCGTTTGATTGGTGTGGGATTTGCAGTGAGTTTAGTTTTTAGGCGAATTAGAATGATACTGGACAGAATGTAACAAGATGTTTGTATTAGGAAGCAATAAAAAATCGTTAACTGTATATTTTTCTCGAAGTTTGGATCTGTTCAAGTGATCATTTGGTAAAAAAAAAAAAAGACTGAGTTGCAGTTTTATGCAGTATTTTTATTTTCTATATGGAATTTGTGATAAATGATTCAGATAATTATGCAACACTGTAATAACTTTAATTTTGTTGATGACTTTGATAATAATAGTTTTGTAATGCCCTGAATGTGTACTGTCTTTACTTGAGCTTAGTAATACAGATGATTATTTTTGTATTTTTTTTATATAAAATGTTTGCAATAATGTATTTTGCTCATAAATATTAATACATATACTTTAGTTAAATAAGCCATATTTTGTTTTTGAATGAGTGCAAAACAGATTGGTCTGTGTGTTTGTGTTTGCTGTTGCTAAGAAAATAAAAATCTAAGCATGGATATTTTTTATAATATAAATTTTATATGTATGTTAATGATAGAAAGTAATCTGTAACCTTTATATTTTTTTTGTATGGCTTCAGTAAAACCGAATGATTAACAAGCTAGTCTTTATATAACCAGTGCTAAGCCTGTAGACCTATATGTTTTATGTTATATCAATACATTCTGTGTATGTATTTATGTAATATAAAACAGGCTTACAATAACCAGTGCTAAGCCTATATATGTGTGTTCTGTTTAATCAATACACTGTTTTATACTATATACTATATATTATGTACATTGTTTTCTACTATATATTATGTACACTGTTTTATACTATATATTATGTACACCCTTTTATACTATATATTATGTATATGTTTTATACTATACATTATGTACACTGTTTTATACTATATATTATGTACACTGTTTTATACTATATATTATGTACACTGTTTTATATTATATATTATGTACACTGTTTTATACTATATATTATGTACACTGTTTTATACTATACATTATGTACACTGTTTTATACTATACATTATGTACACTGATTTATACTATATATTATGTACACTGTTTTATATTATATATGCTATATACACTGTTTTATACTATACATTATGTACACTGTTTTATACTATACATTATGTACACTGTTTTATACTATATATTATGTACACTGTTTTATATTATATATGTTATATACACTGTTTTATACTATATATTACGTGCACTGTTTTATACTGCATATTATGTACACTCTTTTATACTAAACATTATGTACACTGTTTTATACTATATATTATGTACACTGTTTTATACTATACATTATGTACACTGTTTTATACCATATATTATGTACACTGTTTTATACTATATATTATGTATATGTTTTATACTATACATTATGTACACTGTTTTATATTATATATTATGTACACTGTTTTATACTATATATTATGTATATGTTTTATACTATATATTATGTATATGTTTTATACTATATATTATGTACACTGTTTTATACTATATATTATGTACACTGTTTTATATTATATATTATGTACACTGTTTTATACTATATATTATATACAGTCTTTTATACTATATATTATGTACACTGTTTTATACTATATATTATGTACACTGTTTTATACAATATATAATGTACACTGTTTTATACAATATATTATGTACACTGTTTTATACTATATTATGTACACAGTTTTATACAAAACATTATGTACACTGTTTTATACTATATATTATGTACACTGTTTTATACTATATATTATGCCATGAAGGTACGTTGCATTATCACACCATGATGTGTCTAGATTTCAACTACAGCATGCATACTAAACTATTCAATAAGATAATTATCTCACTATTAATTGTTTATTATCTAAAATTATCTACCATTAAGATTGATAATCATCATTAAAGCCATCACTTTTTAATATAATTGGATCTTCATTGATGAAAAATTACAATCTCATTTTAGAAGTGAGTCCTACTGATTAAGATAGGTAACTCCTGTTACAATATTTTTTAAAGAAAAAGAATATTAAGATTATGTTAATAAAGCTATTTTACTATATCATTGTATTATATTGCAGAATTATATTTCATTTTAACCCATTCTTTGTTGGGTGATAATCCAATTATGTATAAAATTGTCCTCTTGTTAATATCTCCCTATGTGACAACATGAACTGCATATCAAAGATGTTTATTCATGATGCTTATGTTGTGAGGTGTTATAAGTGATGATAATAAATATATGTATAAGATATCAATATTTTCTTGTTTTATTTTAGTTCAATTTATGATAAACTTACAAAGTTTAAAATTTCAATAGAGTGATATTGAAAAATGTATTAAAGTGCAACTTAGTTTTTTTTTTAATTTTACAATGGTTCCACTTGTTACTTTAACAACAAGATGTATTTTTTAAACACATGCCCCCATATGACAGCTACACACCAAGGTTAAAGTTCTTTAAATGTAAGCCAGACTCCAAGGTCAAGAGTTCAATTATACTCACACCAAAAGAAAGGTCTTGTTAGATGGAATACACATGTAAAATTTAAATAGCCCTAGTACCAACTGTTAAGGAAATATGATTTTTCAAAAAGTAGATCATACTCCAAGGTCAGAGTCACAAGTACAAAAAAATAATGGTAAGAAAGAAAAGGCTTTGTTACCAGGAATATATATTTGAAATATGAAAGCTCTAGCAGCAATCGTTCCAAAGTTATAGGCAAGATTAATGTATGTCAAACTTTAAGGTAATGAGGTCAAAAATGTTTGCATCCAAGGATAAATCTTGTCGCAAGGAATACACATTTGATATAAATATATAATTGTCATAGAAATTAATTATTTTTGAGAAAGAAAGACTAGTATTTTGAGAATTATTTGGTGCTGGGCGACTAAGAAAAAACAAAATAGAGTATACCTTAATACACGATATTACTAACCATAAAATAGAAATGAAATATGAAGATAACGAACAGTATTCAATCTCGATGGTCCAATGAAACGATACAAATTTGAAGCAGAGCAAACACGGAACTCAAAATTTAGAGGTGGGATCAGGTGCCATGGAGGAGTGAGCATCCCCTGCCGACCGGTCACGCCCGCCGTGTAACTCTTTGTCATGATCGGGTTAAAACGGAGAAATCCGTCGACAGTTCAGTGTATAAATAATGGCCTAACAATTAGTATGAAAAACGTCAGTCAGCATATTTGACTCAATGATAGGTTGTTTGTGCTGACAAGGTCATTGTATCGACCGTAAAACTTGCGAAAAGATGACTTCAAACGAGACTGTTGATATCCTTGTTTCATCAACTTGTTTGTCAATAGCTTGCCTCGTTTTTAGAAATTGTTCATACGTAGAGCATGCTCTTGCGTATCGAATCAACTGAGAGACATTAACCCCATATGCAGGTGATAACGGTATATTGCTAGGGAGGTTGACGATTGAAAAGTTGAAGTCATCACGTTTATCATAAAGCTTGGTTGTTAGGTTATCATTAACGTCTTTTTCTAGTAAGATATCTAAATATGAAACAGATGTGTCAGAATCTGTGGTATCTTTTATTTCAAACTCACTGGGATATATCGAGTCGACATATGAATGAAAGTAACTATTGTTAATTGATAATACGTCGTCGATATATCGAAAAGTCGAGTTGAAAACCATAGCAAGTGTTTTCTGCTTCTCATGTGGAAGCTTTTGAACTTGGGAAACATGCAAATATTTCTGTGACTTTTTATTCAGAAACGTTTTAATGAACGCCTGAGAGCGATTTTGTTTGCAAAAAGGGGGATTCAGACACCCTAGAACCCCTCCTGGATCCGCCATCGTATTTCAATATAAAAAGAATCCTTAGATTAAATTATACGCAGAGGAAGATTTAAAGCCATTGATTATTACTGCATGGATATTTCACAATGCAAGTTAAGTTCGGTCAGTGACACAACTTATCTGGGTTTTTTTTAAAATTTAAATCGCATGCTTTATAGATTAGAAGTTTAGGGTTATTATCACTTAGTATTTATTGTGTCAAACTTGAAGTAATTTCAGCTAGGAATTGTGTATATTGATTTGTGTAATTGACCACGCGCCACTGCTTCATTACCAATAAAATATCTAATTTTAAGTTGTGGACTTCGATGAGTTTCAAACTCCCAAAATAGAGTACAGGTAAATACACAAACCGAAAGTACAAATGATGGATTTTCCATCTGATAAATATATCTTGTAAAGCCTCCTTCAGAATATACAGATATGGTTTGTATACCATTACATCTTTTTTTATTTTACAATATATCTAATTTTTTTTTTATTGTAAAATGATAGATTTATACTGTTATCTTGGCATGGCCTTGTTATGACCTTTGAAAATCTGCTTCATAAAATATACTACAGATATACTGTAGATAAGATAACATTTCTCATCAATGTCAAAATGATATTAAGGGAAGTGACATAATGATTCGAGTGTAAATGAAGTATTATCACTTTTTCAGAAATTTGCAACTAAATAATTGTAATTCTATTGTAATGGATCACATACCTCGACTATCAGAGGCTGTGTATGTGGGATTGTGTGATGAGGTAGGGACTCCTACAGAAGTGAGGTTCAGAAGAGAGGTAGACGACACTAAAGAGGTTCTAATGAAACCTATGGATATCAGGACGGGATTTAAAAAGATTAAGAGTGGAAGTAAGCGCGAGGGATTCAGACTGAAAACTTCAGATGATGATATGATGTTTTGCATTTCCAACCACAAGCTAATCTGTGATCTTTCTCAGATCAGTCTCTACCGTATCCCACAACAAACTGTGATTCTGACGGAGTTTGATGATCTACCACCGGGATTCACCAGACTCAATCTGCTTAGTCCCTCAAATAATGCAAATATAAGATCCTCCTGTGTATCTAAAAATACCGAAATTTATATTTCTAGTGCATTATTCCGCTTTAACGTTTTGAAATACCTCCAGAACAGGCATCCCATATTCGCTTCATCCGTTCCTCATGGACCCTGCTCATCTAATATCAAAGAACTAGGTTACGAAGCAGATATTTTGATCTGCCTTCGGTCACACCACTGGCCGACAACAGCTGACCCCTGGATACAGAGATGTCGTCAACAAGGCTGGCCATCAGAGAGCGTTCTATATGATATTTTAAGCGGTGGTTTCCATGTTGTTCCTATCGGCAGCATACCTGAAATTGGAGAAGAATGGAGAATATCATTCTCTCAAGCAGAACAAAAACTTGTGTATTCAATGAATCACTGTCAGTTTTTGTGTTATGGTCTTTTAAAAATTTTTTTAAAGGAAGTAATCAATTATCAAAACAATAATCCAGTTCTTTGCTCATACTTCATCAAAACAATTTTATTTTGGAGAATTCAATGTAATAATTCCTTGACTTGGACACCTAATAACTTACTGCCTTGTTTCTGGAAATGCGTTAAATTATTAATACACTGGGTTCGTATTGGAGAATGTCCAAACTTTTTTATTCCAGAAAACAACATGTTTAGAGTGAAAGTAACCGGTTCTGTACAAACTTCATTGTTCAGTCAGTTGTATGATTTTTATTGTAAGGGGATATCATGTCTACTAAAAAGTGACACCCTGAGACCTTACCTCACTAAGGCAATTTTAAACAGAACATTAAGAGTCCGTACAGACGAGAGCAGTATTACAAAAAGCATCAAGTTAGATATCAGTTTCTTTGAAGAAGTAAATTTATCAGAAACATTCTGTAGTTGTAAGGACCTTGCAGTTTACATGAATCAAATAAAGAGATTGATGAAGCAGAAGCTGACACCGTATCAGGCAGTTACATTACAATGCATGACATCAGGTTTATTAAGGAACACTGCCCTATCCATACAGGACACTACATCTCCGACTAAAAATCGTACTGTTTATTACTATACCAGTAAAGTAACCGCAATGTTAAAACTGTCATCTACAATGGGTTGTGTGTCAGACATTCTGTATCTTTGCATTTACTTCTACAGAACACGTAGGTATGAATATTCCCTCAGTTGTTTACAGAAAGCACAGGAGAGAATGTCAGTCCCTTATATTGTGTATAGAGGTAATGTAAATATAGGTATGTATGAACACTGCATGGCATGTATTTCTCTAGATAAAAAAATTAGGAGAGCTCTTGTGTTTGACATCAAGTTAAACAACAAGATTACTTACATTCATGAACTAGTATTAGAACAGAAGATCAGTAACAATAATGGCTGGACTGGATTATTTATCCCGCCTCTTGTGATGTTACACATGTTGTTTATACTGAATTATCATAGACTAGGTGACACAGTCAGGTCACAACAATCTCTACAGGATCTTAATAGTCTGCTGCTTTATGATGACGATTTGAATGTACCTACTCCAATCAGAGATATTTCATGGCAAATATTGGGAAACTGTCAACAAATCACTGGAGACTATTTAGGATCTCTGCAATCCTATCAATATTCATTACAACAATATCCCATTCACAAAATTCCGGAAGCAACCCTGATAAGAATGAACACACTTCATCATGAAGCTATGCAATACTGAGTTGTTGGAAGAAATTAAAATGACAATTGTTTGTTTTATTTTTGTCACTTGAAAATTCCTTGTACATCTATTTTTATTAACCTGAAATTTTCTTACAATAGGTTATTGTAAGAATGTGTAACACTTCTTTCATATTTTATTTTTTCATATCTGGTATTTTTCTGGTATTTTTACTTGTACTTACTGTATACTTTCATTAAAAATACTTTACATGTACTACCTGATTACATTGTTCATGACTAAAACAAAAAAAAAAAGAGATTGGGTTTTTAAGTTGTTCCTTGTTAGATTTATCATAACAGGAAAGTTAGACTTAGTTTTAGGTGCTGATCAATACCCGCTTTTTTGCATATTTAATCCTAAACATTAAGGTCTTTGAATTCAACTTTTAATATTATATTTCATTTGTAATGCACGTAATGTAACACTTTAAAATAATATAAATACAATCCATCCCATGAAACCTTTTTATTTAGGGTATTTCTACACTCATGTCACATTATATTTTTGTGCAAAATCTTTCATTAATTCAATATCGTACCCCGTACAAATAATGTCATAATTACAAAAAAAGAAACTTAAATTAATTTTTTTTTTCTTTGAAGAAAGGTTAAAGGGCAGTGACTCTTACTTGTGTTTTTTTCATTCATGATTTTTAAATTACATTTATACATTAAAAAAGTATCCCTGATACACACAACCTAAACAAATTATTGTTTTGAAACGTTCAGTTTTACAATGATGTCAATGAGGAATCAGTTGTAGGCGATCTGAAATTGATGTCGTGCACCAAAAATAAAATAATGCAGATATATATACTTTCGTTTATGCGTTACTAATATTTGAAAAAGGCTAGCAACCTTTACATTTATTATATTTTACATTATTAAGTGAACATTATTGTAATTTTTCTACTTCAAACCCGTTTCATATTGACGATTGAAGAAATTAAAAAATTAAATCATCGTTTTGCTTTCTGAAGGATTTTTTTTATGTGGAACATTCCTGAAGTCTTTTTTCATTAATTGAAATATATAGTATTAAAATGTAACAATGAGGAATTAAAAAATGAAAAGAAATACAGAGGAATTAAACATGTATATTCGTGTTTTTTCATATATACTGGAGAGAAAAACACCACAGAAACACTAAAGCACAAAAGAAACTCTGCAGGAACTTAAAGCATACGAAGGTTGTTAGGAAAGTTCGCGGACACATTAATTTACGGAAAATTAATTGTGCATGTTAAAGAATGACGTATGTCTGATTAAACTCTAATCTTGTGTTTTACACGGGTCTGTGTAGTAAAATTTTGAAAATAAACAATGATATTTACTGTGCGGTCTTAGGGTTCAAGGAACAATCACTTGACGTTAGGTGACATGACAACCTGATTCCATACCTGTAAGGCTTTTTTCTTTCATTTCTAAAGACTTTTCATTCATTTTTCCTGATTAAAAACTGAATAACTATAACAATATCAAGACTTTTTTTTTAAAATGTATTTTGTGGCGTATCGAAAATTAGTGAGATCTTAAAATCAGTATATACGCGTCTAAGCGATAGGTATTGAAACGATGCAAAATCCATAGGCTCAACGTCCATTCCATAAGCGTGGTATATGGGTATCGCAGGAGTTGATCTTCATTAATGCAAGTCATTTCATTCTAACAAAGTTACTTCCATTTTAAAACTTTGGTCCCGAATAGGTATAGGTATTCCCTAGCGGCATCTAAAAAGATTTTAGTCACTTTCGAGCATTTTCCTGTCTGAATATATTTATTTATTTATTTATTTATTTTTGATAGATTGGTGCTCATAGACGTTCAATGACGGTGACATTCTTGACTTTTTTTTTTACACATTAATCATGTATTATTAGCAATAAAACAGTTTTACCCCTTCAATTACATATAAATTCAAACTTTCTCCAAATGACTTTTGATGAATATTGAAGCGACAGGTGAATTGTCTAATTCTTATGTGCTTCAACAGTGCAATATTTAATTTTAAAAAATGTCTTTGTAATGTTAATGGTGCTTGGACACAGATTTGAAGTTAATATTTTCTCAAATTTTCTTTATAATTTCATGACTTATATTTTGCTATAGCAATTCATACTAAAATATAATAAAAATCTTATTTCATCTCGAAGTGATTAAAACTTCGAATTTCGGGACGCGTTGGATTGACACATCCTTGCGCTTTCACATATTTTAATTTTAATTCTAAGTACTTAAGAAAAGTGACAATTTTGTTGTATATTAATGAAAAATATTAAAACTTTAACCCAGAAAATTCAGAGTAGAAATGTTCGAAAGCAAAACACACTCACAGTATTGTAAGTCCGTGCTCAGTGGTATGTGCAGACTTTAACAATTGAACACACCCGGTGAATCGTAAACATTAACAATAACAGAGTTCGTGCCCTGTTTACAAAAAAGTTTACGTTTCACGGATGTGTTCAATTTGTTAAACTCTGTACACATCACAGTGCACGGACTGACAATACTGGTGAGTTGGTTTTGCTTTCGAACATTTCCTCTCTGAATTTTATGGATTATAGATGTAATATTTTTCATTAATACATAACAAAATCGCTCCTTTTCTTAAATATTAAGGATAAAGTTAAAATTTGGTAAGTGCAAAGATGTGGTAATCAAATGCGTCCCGGAATTCGTAGTTCCAATAATTTCCAGATAAAATAAGTTTTTAATTATATTTTCGTGTGAAATGCTATAGCAATATATAAGTCAAGATATTATACAGAATATTTGAGAAAATATTAAGTTCAAATCTGTGTCTAAGCACCTTTAAGGTGCAAAAATGTGACATGCTATGTGAAGCATGTTTTTCTAGTTAATATTGATGTAAATTTTAATACTACGGATCATCGGTATACACCAAATCTTTGCAAATATATTGGAAAATACGTATAGTATTTATCCGCAGAGTTTTACTGGTTTCATGCAAATAGCGGGCTCGCAAAAGAAATTGTCCCCGAACTTTTCTAACATTTAGTTTCCTCAAATTTCGGCAGTGAAACTTCAACTCTAGAAAATTAATTCATTGCCTCTTATATTTTCAGCAGCATTAATTATATTCCCTCCACTGAACATAAACTGCAAATATCAAGGAAAAAAATCAAAAATATATTCAGTTCGTAGTTCATATTAATCAACAGAAAACTCCTTGTGTGTTTCACTTAAGTTTTTTGACAACTCACTTGCTCTTACCTAGTAGGGGGAAATTTTCGCCCCTTTCGCCCTACTTACAGGTGGGCAAAATTTTAGAAAAAAAATTTAAAACGGGACGAATTTAAAGAACATGGTATAATTAATAGAGAAATCCTAAAAGATATCTTTATAACGTGTCCGTTTGATAGAAGTAGAAATCCTTAAATGAATTATGGATAAAGGCATAAGAAAATGACAGTTAAACGGAAAAAAACGTTGAAAAAAAAATATCGACGAGAAAGATAGAATGTAATTTTTATTTTTACTTCATTGAATAAGAAATTTTTAGTCTTTAAGACTTTGAGCTTTATTTTTCTGTTGATTTATCTCCAAATTACTTGTGTTTTAATAAGTACTCTCCTTTGTTAACATCAAACCATAGTTAGCAAGCGCTATATTTCAATCACTACTGAACGAAAAATGTGCTGAGAATCCCAAATTTTACTGATAATGTTTGATAATTACTGATACGGTGCTGTTCTTGCTGATAAATACTGATATTTACTGTTATTATTACTGTCGTTGTTGATAATTTTAGTTGTTTCTGATAAATACTGATAATTACTGTCGTCTTTACTGTGGAGTCTGATAAATACTGATAAATACTGTTGATGTGCTGTCGATGCTGAGATTTACTGATAATTACTGTGGTCTTTAATCTTAAGCTGGGAAGGGCTAAAGAAGAACTGAGGGCTGTAAAAACCTTCAATTATTTCTTTCTTATAATCATAAATTATCATTACGACTTTTCATATTTCTTCAAATGTTCTGCTAGAGACAAAAATTACGCTGATCTCATTTACTACAATACGGTTGTGATAATGTTGACAATAAATAAATGAAACTTTCCGCGTATATTAAGCAAATGTTTTCTACCAATCTATGAAAATAGTATAATTTATCTGTAAGCAAGATAAATTGAATTTTATTAATGTACTGTAAATAAAAAGAAAATAAGGCTAGCTTTTAAAAAGATTCATCGCCGCCCTCTCCCGACTCCAAGATATTTGGGTAGGGAGGTCGGTGATGTTTTTTTTTCAATAATAAGAAATAGTTCTTAATGGGTGGAAAAAAATTCGGGATAAAAAATATTTCCTGCAGGTTAGAAAACTTTGATTCGCACGGTTTCACTCCGTCAACTGGTCAAGAGAGGACGACATTTTCTTTTTAAAGATGACCTTTCATATAGCTATTTTTGTTTTTTCTTTCTCAAAGACATTTATTTTTTTCATTTTTAAATGTTCGGTTTTCTGGTCTCTGTCAAGATATTTGAAAATTTGCTCGAAAATTAGAAATTTTATGCATTTTTAAATTTATTAAAGAGATGTAAACAGAGGTGAATATGTTCAGTCTGGAGGCACAGATTATTTATTTATTTATTTATTTATCTCTTCATTCATTCATTCATTTATTTGAACGTAATGTAGGCATTTTAGATTCTTCCAGAATATCTCTTCTACATCTACATGTACACGATACATACATGAACATGTGCAACCGGCAGATTGGGGGCAGATTAAAAATTACTGCATGGTCAGAAGCCCCAGTGTCAGAGCGAAGGTACACATGTGTTTATGTTATTTTGATGTTGGTCTCTTAAAATTTCATGACACGAAACATTTTTATTCAATAAGTTTTAAAATCTCATTAATTTAATTTTATGGAATGTGAAATAAGAAATGAGACGTAATATAATATGTTTACTTAGTAAAGTACATGTATATGATCAAATTGATCGATTTTAATCTTGTGTAGTCAAAAATT